AAGCGCATCGTCGCTATTCCTACAGGACAAGCAACATTTCAGAAATTTGTGGACTCGGAAGCAAGGGCCAACTACAGGGCGATTAAGACCAGGGACTTTTATTTGGAGAAAGGGTTTTTAGACGCGGAGATGCCCCAGTTTGTGAAGGATGGAGTTGCACGAATGAAGTGGGAGCATTTCTGTTCTCCCCCTATGTTGGTTTTGTCGAAGCTGGTGAGGGAATTCTACGCGAATTTTGACCCTGATAGGGTGGGCCGCACAACGGTGAGGGAGGTGAAGGTAGACTGGACGCCGGAGCGGATTAACAAACTTCTTAAGCTGCCAAGCAACCCACGGGCTGAATTCAACGAGACGATCCAGTAGCCGTCTATATATGAGCTTGACCATGCCCTACAGCTGGTAGGGATCGAAGGTGTTGTTCTGCAAGTAACTGACCAAGGTGCCCTCTCCTTGAAGTCTTGTTAGCTCACCAGCCAACGTTTGGCTCTACTTCGTCAAGAGTCGGGTTATGCCAACAACGCATGATTCGTCTGTTACGAAGGACAGAGTCTTTCTGTTGGCATGCATCTTGGAGGCCCGCTCAATTGATGTAGGACATCTCATCCACCGGGAAATCGCCCAATGTGCAAGGAAGGATTCGACCGTTTGTTCTTCCCTAGCCTGATCACCAAGCTCTGCCTGTGCAGAGATGTGCCTATCCTTGAGGACGAATAGCCTCTCAAGGACAAACTGGTGATTGATAAGAGCACCATGGAGCGGTTGATGAGCTAAGACCCTGCTCGTCATGGAGCTGTACCAAACACGGCCATAAATGAAATAATGTCCCAGTTAGCCAAAGTGCAGAAGCAGCTATCGAGAATAGAAGAGGTGCAGTCAGCCTCTACTGAGAACGCAAAGAAGCGGGATACTAACATCCTAGCAGAGCTGAAGCGTATCAAAGAGGAAGCACCATCCACATCTACTGTGCTGGCCAGACTGAAGGAATTTCTGGAGCAATCTGGCAGCTCTGAAGAGGAAGATCAGCCCACGGGCGACTCTTCATACAACAAAGAAAGTGAAGAAGAGAGTTCTGCCTGACCCGCAAAAAGAAGTCTGTTTCCTTTTGTTATTGAAAAAAAATGTCCCCCCTCCCCATGTTATTTTTAATTTCTAGTACATTTAAATTTCTGCATTTTTAAATTTTAGCATTTAAATTTCTGTTTTTATGTTTTTATCTAGTAGTCTTAATTTCAATTCCAGTTTGTTTTTTTTATTTTGTTAGTCACATGTGAACCCCGCCCCCTCCCCCCTGAAAGGATGTGAATCCCGGAACGAAAGCGGATTTTCGTTACTGATTTTTGGGACACAAAACCAAATTTAAACAAGAAAAATACAGGGAAAACTTAAACGTTTGAAGAACGTTTCTTCATTGAATTCCCCTCGAACACCACCACTGGATCTTCCTCGCTATCCTCTTGGGTCTCAGGATCGTGCTGGTGGGAGCAATCCTTTGGAACAAGAAGGAGAGTTTGAGAGAATTTTTCTTGAGAGAGATCTGGGAGTTTGACAGAATTTTTCTGCTTGGTGTTCTGTTTTCTTCAACCATTGAAGAAGAAGAACTATGACGTGGGGTAACTCCCCACGTCACAGCAACCCCCCACTCCCATACAATTTTGCAGGAGAGTTAATATTAATAATAATAATAATATTAATATTAATATATATATATAATAATTAATATATATAATTAATTAATGAAATTAATTAATATAATTAATTATTAATCCAATTAATAATTAATAAATATATATATACATAAATAATGAACACTTAATTAGTTATTATAAAATTAGAATCATATTATAAAACATTTCTCTCGTATAAACTATAGTTTTTGTAACGCCCCGCGTTACTCAGGTTAGCTTGCCCCGAGTTCCGGGGAATTTTATAACAAAATGGATTTTAGTTATTGATTTATTTATTTATTTCATTTTTATTTTATTTGTTTCACCAGTGATCTTTATTTAATTTTAGTGTGGCATCTCGGCTAGTGTGTGTTGTTACAAATTTAGTGGTGAGTTAGTAGCGTGTAGTATTTATTAAGTTATGTTTTTTTTATGGATTCCGCTATGTGACACTTGCTCTGGGCCATTCGATCAACTACGAAATTATATTATTGGTTTTGTTAACAAGGTGTGATTGGGTAAATGGGCCTTAAACAAAAGAAACTAGCCCAAGTGGGTCTATGTTGCAAAATAAAAGGAAAAGGGGAATTTAAAACAAAACAACCCTAGCCCATCTTG